ATGAAAAAATAGAGGAATTGGAATTGTTCATTTTAGATTTAGATTGTAAAGTAAAAATAGTATGTATAAATGAGCATTGTGTAAAAAAAGAAAATATGTACCTGCTCAACAGATTGTCAAATTTTAGGTTAGCCAATGGTTATTTTAGAGAAAGGTCTGAGGGTGGTTCTTGTATTTTAATACATGATACATTGTCTTTTTTGTCAGAGATGATCTTATGGTATTCAATGAAGAATTCTCATTTGAAGGCTCTTTTGTGGAAATAACTTCACTTAATTTGTTAATAATTTCAATCTATAGAATTCCAGGAAGCAGAACTACTAAAATATTTTTGAATAAGTTTGATAATTTTCTTAAATTGTTATCGAAAGAGAATAAAAACAAAAGGATCATATTGGCTGCAGACTTCAATATTAATTTACTTCTTAAGGATGTAAATGCAAGTAGGTTTCAAAATATTGCTAAAAAATATGGGTATAATATAAGTTGCTCTGAGGCTACCAGAATAACTTCAAGTTCAGCCACTTGTATTGATAATATCTTAACTAATATAAATTACTGTGGATCTTTATTATACAACATTAAGCACTATCTCTCCGATCACAATGCACTGATTGCATCACTTCCTAGAAATTATAAAGATCTAAGTCCTTCTAGCATTTTTAAAAGACACTTTTCACAAGAAAATTCAGAGCTTTTCTTAATTTTACTTAACCAAAAGCTTGAGAGCTTTGATACTTTAAACTCATCTAATAGCAGTTTTGATTGGTTTTTAAATGTATTTGTTATGACTATGAATGAATGTTTTCCATTAAAATTGTCAAAAGTTAGGAAACCATCCAAATCTTTTTGGATAAATGATGAAATTAAAATGTTAGCTGAAAAGAAAAAACACCTGTATGGAAAAGCAAAGGAATCTGATTGTGGAAACGATAAGTTAGAATATAAAAAATATAGAAAAAACCTTAATGTTCTTATAAAACTAAGTAAGCAAGCAGCAAATGATAACTTTATTTTAAACTCAAAAAATAGAATGAAAGCCACCTGGTCTGTAGTAAAGAAGGAAATTGGTTTAAAAAGTGATAAATACACAGAGGAAATACAGTTGGAGGTTAATGGTAATTTGTTAGATGATCCGTATATTATAGCATCTCATTTTAACCGCCATTTTATTGATACAGTTGATAATTTAGGAATATCAAAACCTCCTGTGACTGATTGTGAAAATAATCAGACTGTATCCCAAACACTTTTACTGGACCTTCATCCAACACAGACCACAGAAGTTTGTGAAATAATACGTAGTTTAAGCAATTCAAGCTCTGTTGGCTGGGATGAGGTCCCAACAAAACTTATAAAAATGTCAGAACCATTAATAGCCCCAGTTCTTAGTATAATAGTCAATCAGTGCTTCAGTACAGGTCAGTTCCCAGATAAGCTTAAATTATCTGAGGTAAAACCAATATTCAAGAAAGGAATGAAAACAGATACAACAAATTACAGACCTATTTCTATTTTAAGTAATTTTTCCAAAATATTTGAAAAAGCAATAAATTGACGCATTACCAATTTCTTAGAAAGTAATAATCTTTTTTCAAAATCACAATTCGGTTTTAGGAAAAATCAATCTACTACATCTGCATTGACTGGGTTGGTTAACATGGTCACAGAAGCATTGGAGGGGAAACAAAGTACTGCAGGAATTTTCTGTGACCTATCAAGTGCGTTTGACTGTGTTAATCACAAGATTTTAGCAAATAAACTAAAGAAAGTAGGTATTGGAGGTAAAGTCATGGAACTACTCTCAAACTACTTAAATAATAGAAAACAACGGACAGTCATTTTAAAAAGTAAGAGAAAATTTGTATCAAGATGGGAAAAGGTCATCCATGGAGTTCCCCAGGGTTCAATACTGGGACCTTTATTATTCCTGATATTTATCAATGACATTGATTCTCACATATCTGGTGATATTTTCTTATATGCTGATGACACCAACGTTATAGTTCAAAATTCAAATATTCAACAATTGGAAATCTCCATTAAACAGACTATAGAAGAACTGCAAGATTGGTTCACAAAAAATTGTTTACTAATGAATAATTCAAAAACACGTATAATGCATTTTAAAGTAAAAAATCTTAAAAATTCTGACTTTTTATCTGATAATATATTAAACTTAGCGGATACTCATAAAGTTTTAGGCATTCATGTTGATTCAAAATTAAAATGGGACGACCATATACAATTCTTAACAAAAAAGCTCAACTCTTTTCGTTTTGCATTAAGTGTAGTTAATGATACAACATCTACTGATATTGGTAAACTAGTATATTACGCCTACATGGAATCTAGACTCAGATATGGTATTGTTCTTTGGGGATCCAATTCCAAAACGAAAAAACTTCTCAATGCACAGAAATCAGTGGTGAGGACAATGGCAAAAGTTTCCAAAAGAAAAAGCTGTAGATCATTATTTAAAGAATTTGGAATTTTAACAGTAACAGGTTTATATATATTAGAAATTGTCAAGTTACTCTACAATAATCAGGACAACTTTGATAAGTATAAATTTAACCATAACTATTTCACACGTCACTCAAACTTATTTCAATATCCACACCATAGACTTTCTCTGTATGAAAATAGTCCAAATTACATGGCAATCAAAATTTTTAACAAACTATCAAAAATCATAAGCAAAAATTCATCAAAAAATGTCTTCAAAACCTTACATAAATTATTATTGGAAAGGTCTTACTATAGCATTGAAGAATTTTTTCTTGATAGTTTTGAAGGGTAGGTTGGCCACGGTTTATAAAAGATTGCTGTAGTAGAATTATATACAGGACAAAAGCCTATATCCTGTTCTGATACAGACCAGACTGGTATTTAGTCTTGTAATTTGAGCTTAGTTTTAGGAATTTACAGATAATTTTTTTCTTTTTGTTCAGTATTACTATTATATTTTTAAAGTGTTAATAATTGTAATTAGTTTTATCAAAAATATAACAGTTTAGTATTAGTTTTATAAATATTGCATGGCCCCCACATTTAATTGTGGGCCCTGTTACCAGGATCTGGCTCGGGCCCCCCTACCAACCGGGGGGTCGGGGGGGTATGGAATACCCCCCAGCGTAGAGGGGGGGTCCGGGAAAATTTTGAAAATGTCATGTATTTTAGTGAGTTTTTAAGGCAATCTAGGTATTAAATTTGTGAGTGGTAAATGGCACTTTTGCAGCCTTTTTTAAGGAAGAAAAGAGTTCTTCAATGAGTGTTATAAGACTTAAAATTACAGGAATTCAGCAATTAAAACTATTATATCAATACACAAAAGCTCCATGCCTATTAATATTTTGTCCTTTTTATTTCCCTGTAAGAGGGTTTGGCTATCTTAACTGCTATAATTGTACTTTGTAATATGGAGTAGGAAAAAACTTACGTAAATTGAGTTTAACAGCTTACACCAATGAAATCATATTTTATTCAGTGACAATTTTCATCAAGAATTTTAACAATACTACATTTTTTGGGAGTGGATGCCTGAGCTGCCGAACTTGCGCCGAGTAGTCACGGAGAAAAACAAATGTGCACGAGTAATGCCGAGAATGACCGATGCTATCCAATCCATGCTTTAGTACAGTATTATACCGAGCAAATTGGGAAGAAAACTTAGGTCAAAATTATTAGGCCTACAATCTTTCATATTTTTAAAACTCCAAAAGTAAAGAATTTTTAAGTTTGTGTCAAATAACCTAGATTGCAATAATTATTAATTGAAATATTCCATACATAAAAGTGCAACCGGGACCAAATGTTGATAAAACAGGACAAATAAGCGTCCCGAGAGGATTTGTCGGGACGGACCAGTCCCCCTAAAACGGGACGTCTGGTCACCTTAGCTATGGTACATAGTACATGTTAATTTTTCAATGCTTTACAAATTTTATTTTAACTTATAACTATAAGGATTCATTCTTGAAACTATCAGTTCAATTATAAAACCAAACTTTGTTTATTATGGGGGGAATGAGGTAGGAGTGGCTAGGCGCCTGGCGGGAGGAAGGGGTAGAGGGAGTTTGTGGAGCCGGCCACTGGGGCCCGAGCTGGCTGTTCTGCTGTTGTATAGTACATACGCACCTACGCACCTATAGAATTTAAATATAAACTTCCTTAGAATCAAGAATTAATACATTTTAAATTATTTAACTTTGTTTTTTGTAAAATATTTAAATATTATTTTTTTATCTTCAATTTATGAGCTGTAAAGTGATCTTCAATGGGGAAAAAAATAAAAAACAAATGGGTAGGCCCGGGCCCCCTGAGGGCCCGGGCCCTGTGACTAGAGTTGCGCCAGCCCCACCCTTGTGGGGGCCATGAAATATTGACAAAACTCCTATCTATGTACATTGTACTCCAAAAGATGTTATGAGTTAATAAAGAATTTGAATTTGAGTTTTTGGAAAAATGGCTTTTGAGAGTCACCAAACGGCTTTGAAAATTCCAAATTTTCCGGGAGGGACCCCCGCACCCCCTTACTTTTTTGGGGGTACTCCCCCAAGCCCCCCTCTTGACAAGGTCCTAGAACCACCACTGATGAATGTTGTTGATCATATTCAATTTCTTCGTCCACAAGCGGTCATTCAGCTCTGCCTCCTGCGATTAGTCCGACAACAACAATATTGAATTAAAACTAATCGATAGAACTGGCGAGTTGGAACAATACACACGCAGCAACAAAATCCGCATTTTCGGAATACAGGAGTGCGAAAATGAGGACAATGAAGCACTGGTGACCAGCATCTGCAAAGAAAAGCTCGGGATCGACCTTCCGGTAGACGCCATCGACGGAACTGAGCGGACCGAACCGACGCAGTGAGTGGGTGAGCTGAACTGACTGAGAAGACTGGACTGAACTGAGCGGACTCCGGACCGGACTCAGTGTGCGACTGCGAGCACTGCAGAAGTGCAGAAGTGCAGAAACTTATTATTGCCGTAATTTTGCATTTGCAAGGTACAAGGTACTAAGGTACATGGTACATGCATGACAAAGTCAACAATAATGAGGTTCAAGTTTAACCTAGTGTTTGTGACGTGTTTGATCATGTGATGTTTAATACAATGTGTCGTGTCGTTACTCGTTACTACATCACTGTCAGTGACAATGAGAGGTTACAAACGAAAACATAACCTCTCTTTTAAGTCATGAGTAGTAATTTGCAGTAATTAAAACACTATCTTAGTTAAAATAGTGTTAACGCAATCGTTGCGTGTAAACTACTATAACCAAATAGGCCTATTATCTTGATCTCCACTATCAAACTAATGAGCTAGCTTTGGGTAAGTTGGTGACTTAGTTGATTTAATTATGGTTATAAGTTTTTAATGTAGGCCTAAGCTAAAACTCATTAGGCCTAACTTACTCGATGGAAGGCTAATATAACTTAAGACCCAATGCCTATTCCTAATTGAACTCACTTGTAATAGTTGGATATTAGTTAGGTCTAGGCCTAATCATGGAACCCAGTAAATTTAGAAACCTAAATTTAACTAGGAATGAGAATGATTTATTTCCTGAAAGCCATAATATGTACAAGGAAACGTCAATACAGTACATCAAAATCTTAGCCTAAGGCCGCGGCTCCACTTGCCGTAGATTGCCGCGCTGCAGATTGTAGCTGATCAGTTGAAGAAATGGGAAGGCAGCGATCAAACGAAGGTGGCTCCACTAGCGACAGTCTGCAGCGCGCTACATTTTATGGCGAGCCGCAGAATATGGCGTCGCGCGGAAATGGAACTTGGACCATTTTCGCGCTACATTTTGCAGCCAACAGGTGGCTCCACTACCTGTAGATTGTAGTGCTGCGCCAAGTCAGTGTAGGCCCTACGCACAGCCGACCGGCATACAGGCACAAGACATACAATGAGTATCGACTTTTTAGTGTCCTTAGTTTTGGATTTTTATGCGTTGATTTGTAATCAATGGAGCCTGAAGTGGACTGGGAAATAATATCGGGAGTGTGGGAATCTTTTTATAGAGGTTGTGTAGGGGTTTCCTACTTTAAGTTAGGTATATTATAAAGTAATACAGCAGTGATAGGAGAAACAAATATGTGAAAGCATCCAATTTGTTTTTAAATGCAGCAGTCATAAAATTGTTGTGATTATTAGCCCTAGGCCTATAATGAAAATCTTCTAATGGCTGTTTTAGATTAGCCTATTATTAATAGGTACAACAAAAACTCTCGAAACTCATTGATATTCAGCGTACATTGGTTACTTAGAAATATTACGTCTGGTGGTAAATGAGTGCTATAAAATTTAAATGGAAATAGAATAGAAATAGAGATAAAATTACCATTAAAGTAGAGTAATTCGACACACCGATTGGATTGTTGAAGCGAGGGTTCACTGTATAAAATAATTAGTTAAAATTCAGTACAATAAAATTACCTTAATGTCACTGAAAGCTTATTAAGTAATCAAAAGAGTTTTGGGGCATTCGATAATATAAAAAAAAACTTATCTAAATACTTTTGTAGTTAAGTATGCAATGTGTAAACATCCCTTCGGACTTTCTGTTGCTTAATAATGAATGGATCCACCATTTTATTTGCTGCGTTTTGATAAAAGACAAAAGTACACTGAACAACACACTACGAATGTTGATTTGCGACATGATCCAGAGCCACGTTTACCTCCGCGCTACAATAAACTGCTAGTGGAGCCACGGTGCATGTGAGGACGCTGCAGATTGTAGTTCGTACTCTGCTGCTAGTGGAGCCACCAACTGTCGCGTGCCTAAGCCTGCAACACACCATTGGAATTGAAAAACAAAAACACAACTTATTTATCATCACACATTGGCACTCATTAGCTAAAAAAACTTACTTACTTGGCCAGGTGAAATTTCAAAATACTCTTTGAAGGAGTAAAAAGGAGTAGGAAACTTAAACTGCCTACCTACCTCTAAAGCGTCTTCTCTTAGTGGTTACATTCCTGTATCAATCATACTAAGATAGGCTACCTATCTATAAATTTATTGTTAAGTTAATGTCAGATGTGAATGAAACAATCAACTAAGCTTATTTAACTTAGCCTGTAAAGGATAGATTTTTATTTAGCCTAATAATTTATTTGTCTCATTTATGCACATATTAAATAAAAGTTTAGTAGTCTATGCTCTTTTACAAAAGTGCAGCATTTAATATAACAATGAATTGTTTTCAGTTTGAAGATGACTACAGAAGACTTGTAATTTTAAACAACAGGCTTTAAACCTTGGGATCTGCAAGAGAACGAACATTTATCAAGCTATTTAGGCTATCTAAACCTCTCGCTCGAGAGCTTTGTAATGAGCTAGAGCCCAGACTGCCAGTAGCACATCGTTCCAGTGCCATGCCAAGTGACATAAGAGTCAGTTATCATGATAAAGTTTAACTTACCGGTAGTTTAGTTTAGTTTAAAAAATTAAACCTTTAAATATAAATGTTGGGTAGGGTAAGTTAGTCTTTTTGTCGAGAAATATTGTTAATGGTTCTCGTTGTAACTTAAGGCATCCACACTTATTAGATTAGCCATTAACTTAGCCTTAACCTTATTTCAGGAAATCATTAACACGATTCTTCTTAATAATACACTTTAATTTGCTATTAACTTAATAGGTTGCATTTAAAAACAAATTATGGCAATTAATGGTTGTGTCTGAAATAAGTTAGGCTAGTTTTATAAATGATCTGGCGGTAGTCGCCCGACGACAGTCGCCTCATGTCTGACGGCTGACTGATCTGTCCCGCGGCAGTAACACTTGCAGCGGCAGTTCTTGAATAGCAGCTGTTCGTATTTAGAGACTGCCCAATCATTCTAAAGACATTTTTTCACTGTTACTGTCATAAAAGCACACATTCAAGTCAATGTTGACCTATTTAACTGCTGCGGTGCATAAATTTGGCCTTAGTGGGTAATATATTCCCTTCTGAGTTCTGACTCAACATTTTTGAAAGAAGCTATGTTTTGATTGGCTAAATTTTATGTGTAATAAAGTTAAACTTGTAACTTTGGTCTAGTGAAGACACTTAAGCCTACATAGATAGTCATTTGGACTAACTTCTTGATTAATCTTATGTAAATTATTGAATTATTTAAGAAAAATAATTTTCTATGTACTAAAAAAACCTCTAAGCTTGTTACGTGTTTTTAATGTTATCTAATTCTAGGTTCTGACATCTCTTCGGTTCATGGCCTCAGGAAGCTACCAGGAGTGTATTGGCCAAAATAGATACCTACCCTGGAATGTCACAATCAAGTGTGAGTAATTGTTTACACTCTGTTTGCGATGCTATGGAGTCAATTCTGAAAAACTATATTAAATTTCCCTCTTCCCAGAGAGAAATGGCTGATATTTAGCATAGGTGAAGTACTATATGATTTGTTTGAACTTAATGTAGGCTAGCCTGCTCTCTTTCGTTGTTACTTATGGATTATACGGAGGCCACCATAATAGGACCGCCAATGTGCAGTGCTGTGAGGAGTTAGGTTAGTTAAGTTCAGGATATTAAATATATCATCAGGATATTATTCCCTGGCTGCATACAACAGTTTTGTACACAGATTGTTGACAGTACCACTGAAGGCAAAAGATTATGAAGAGGAATTAAATACCATCAAATACATTTCTGTAAAAAATGGATTCAAAAGTAATATAGTAGATATACTGGTAGCTAAACATCAGAATAAAGATAAAAACAAAGCAAAAGAGCCTAAAACGTTTTTATCAGCTGATTTTGGAACTCATCTAAGTTACAAATTTAAAAATATTATGACCAAGAACAACATCACAGTGGCATTTAAATCGGTTAACAAACTTGGCTCTAAGTTGAAGGAACGACCGCTCATATCTACATCAAACTATGATAAGACAGGTGTTTGTGTTTACCAAATTAATTGCAGCTATTGTGATAGTTATTACATAGGCCAGACATTACGCTCTTTTGCAAAACGTTTGAAGGAACACATCCCCAAGAAAACCACGTCCACACAATCTTCAACCTTTGCAGAACATTTAATCACAAACAACCATAGCTATTCCAACATCAATGATAACATGACAGTTGTACATTTTAATAAAAACAAATTTCAGATCAACACGCTAGAAGAATTCAAAATTTATAAGGCAGTCAAATCAGATAAACAAAACGTGCTAAACGATAAGCTTTCATTAGCTTCTAACTTTATTTAGAACACTACAAAAGAAATAATGGAAAGGGAGAGGGAGAAGAATGATACCCACAAATAACCTGTTACTGATAAGACCGTAGTGCCCGCTAGTCTAGACATACACTCCCGCCGGTCACGTCGTTAAAGCTAGGCCTAGGCATGCGTGTTACGTGTTTTTAAATGTTTTTAATGTATGTAAATTATTTGTGAACTTTGACAACCTTCGGAAGAAGTGATAATGTCCTTGGAAAACCTGAAGATGGCTCCGTTATGAGCCGAAACTAGTTGTTTCACAACCACTTGGGATTGTCGACATTACAGGTATTTAGACCACTTTAATCAATAGAGTTCCGTGAACGTGGATGACAAATTATAATCGGTTTAGTTTTTTCGTGGTTAAGTCTGAGTCCGTGTTTATTAGTCCAAGTAATGATTTTCTCAATATCTTCGTTCACTCTCAGAACACTTTCGTTGATCAATTTGGGTGAAAAATGTGTATAAATCTGTAAGTCGTCATCATACATGTGGTATTTACAGTGTGTGAAGACTGAGCTCAAGTCATTTATGTATAGTACGAACAGCAGAGGGCCAAGGATGGACCTCTGAGGCACACCACTAGTAACTGTCTCCAAGTCAGAACGTAAGTAATCAACCTCAACACATTGCCGCCTGTCTGACAGATAGCATCCCAGCCAGTCCAATACACCATTTGAAAACCCTATGGCCCTTAGCTTTTCCAAGAGGAGCTTATGATTTACACAGTCAAAGGCTTTAGAAAAATCAAAAAGGGTAAGAATTGTACCCTGCCGATGTTCCATTGCTAGTCTAATGTCGTCCGTCACACGTAAGAGTGCTGTTTCTGTACTGTGAGCTGTTCGAAAGCCAGACTGTGAATTGCATAAGATATTGTTTTCAGTCAGAAACTCTGTCATTTGGCAGTGCACGATTCTTTCAAGGCCTTTAGATAATGCGGGCATATACTGATCGGCCTGAAATCCTGGCAAGCAGCAGGTGCTGGAATCTTATTTAAGGGACGAATTAGGGCAGACTTCCAAGAAATCGGGAATATGCTTTGCCTTAGAGATGTGTTGAAAGTGCAGGTGATAGTGGGGAGTATAGCAAAGAGAATGTCCTTAATAAAGCGATTTGGAATGCCATCAGATCCAATAGCATTACTGTGAATACATCAAATAGATTTCAGAACATCAGACTGCAGTACAGGTTTGAAAATGAACTTGGGGTATCCTAATTCTTGTACAGAGGAGTTTCTTAACTCCGTTATGTAACTTTCAACTTGTTGTTGATTGATGCTTTGACCAAAGGAAGAGAAGAAAGCGTTTAATTCATTGAGAGGAATATTGACTCTTTGTGCGTCAGGTTGTTTCCCAAGCCCAAGAATTTTTACGTTACGCCATAAAACTCTAGATGGTTGGTTATTATTTTCAAAAAGCATACAAATATGTTGTAATTTTGATTTCCGCTAAACCGCAAAAGTGGTTTAACTCTATTTCGAAAATAACAATACTGTTCCATTTCTTCTTAAACTCCGTTTTGCTCTCCTGAAAAGACAGTCGCGCCTAGCCATCAAGCTACGTATTTCAGGGGTAATACAAGGCACTGGTTGTTTTTTGGTCAAACGTTTTGAAACAATTGGACCATGTTTGTCAAACAGATTTATAATTTTGTTAGTTCATTTAACATTTCATCAAGAGATTGAGAATTTTCTATTAAGTGCCATAAACTCAACTTCATTCATATTCTTAAAATCCCTATATTTGTTATATTATATTATTATATTATATTCCCTATATTTGCCGGCCAAATAAAGTATACCGACCGACTGTTCAATTTAAAAGTAGGTTTTAAAGGAAGTAACTGATTAGTCATCTGTTATTTTTGCCGTGTGTGAGAGTAATTATGTAACTTTTCATTGCAAAGAGTAGTCATAAATGGTTAGTGTTATATTAATTTATAAATGGTTCCTATTCCATTCTTGCTTTTTTGATAACAATAAGCCCATTTCTAATCAATTATTTTTGGGACTCGAGATTCAAAGATTCGACATTCAAATTTAAATTTTTTAAGATTCGGATTCAAGATTCGAAATTCCTGGATTCGACCATCACTAGTTTGCAGTAATATATTCAAAGGTTATGTGCAGTGGCAGTAAAGTCATTTTAATAGGCCTAGTGAGTGATTTTGCGACCATTCCTCGAGCATATTTATGACTCTTGGTTGTTCTAAAAATTAAGTTAACCATACTAAAGTTCATATTTTCTTTTTTGCCATAATATTTAGAAATAAATGGCTATTTCAGATGTTTCATTTAGTTACAATTACTCATATTTCAATATTTCATTATTTTTTTTAATAGTTATAAAAACATAATTATTTGTGCTGAATCATAATGTGCATATATTTAGCTGCACAAAAATATATAACAAGGTATAGTTATTTTACAAAGTAGATTTGTTTAAGTATTACTGTAAAATGCCCAAAAACAACTGACACCACACAAAAATTACTGACACCAGGAGGGTTAACCTTCACACACTTGGCGATAAATGTATATCGGTTTTAAGTTTTTTGCCAACAAAATCTGTATCACTGACCGCACCTCTTAACTAGCGGTCCGATGTTTAACCGCAGCGCTCATCTTAAGTTGAAATTGTGAAAAAAACGGGCAGCGCGAGAATGCTTCCGTTGTCACGGCTGGACGCCGACTGAGTTGCCGAGTGCGCACGCACCAAAATGTCAGAACAAAACGTTCTTTACTCTCTGGATAGCCCTCGTAGCAGATAGTAGGCCATAGATCATACAGAAGACACTAAAAACTGAGTATATTTGGTTCTTTGAGGATCTTTTCAGGTGTAGACAAGACAGCAGGTTATATTTAGTACAATAGTTTATAAAGCATTTAAAACAATTGCTATGTTAACCCTCCGAGTGTCCATAGTTTAGGCCTTAATGTCCACCTATTTTTGGCCCCTTTGCAAGGTTTTATTAAAACGGATCTGAGAAGCTTAAAACAATGTTAATTCTAATGTTCTATATACCATTTTGTTTGGAAAATCATGGGCTTCAATATTATATATAAAACATAAGGAACATTTTTTCAAAAAAAAAATTTTTAGGTAAAAAAAAATATAATTTCGAAAATTTTCAAAAAAAAAAAAAGTTCGCGCTCAATGAAATTGTATAAATTATAGGCCTATAAATATTTGAAAATAGCCACTTTGTTCTAAATTTAATGAGGATTACAAATATATAATCATATAGCGAGGTAAGTTATCAAATAAATAAGTTATGAGCGAAAAACGGATTTCAGTACATAGCGTTTAGCTAAGAATGCATAGCCTAACCATAGCTAGGAATCTGGCTGATAATTTACATCAATATCACTACCTACTTCTTCAGGATCATCAACCAGCACTTCAAAACCACTTAAATCTTCTTATAATGCACCACGTATATCACTACTTTTGATTTTTAACACTAAAACAATGATAAACGTAATAAAACACATCAGTCATCGGTCCGGGGGAACCTAGCTGTTTACAAATACACGCACGTCAGCTGTCTGGTACAATATTTTCGGAACTAAAATGAATAGCGCTTAGAGACAGACCTCTGGAGAAAGCTTAGAATATTACGGAAAGAACGATACCTAACTCGATCCAGTTCAATCCGATTCAGTCAGTCATAGAGCCTTCGCCGTAAACGATGTTTGTGCGTCTTAAAAGCGACGCGTGACCCTACACAAAGTGTGTTGTGCGTCGTTTTTATGACGCGTGACACTCGGAGGGTTAAATACTAATTCACCCAATCTATTTCAGAAACAGAATTACTATGAAATATTGCAGACATTCTTCTGAATGATGCATGAAAAGGAAAAATCGTTCTCCAAGTTTGTAATTGATGGTTTGATCTGAAACGTCATCCACCACGATCTTAATCCAGAGGTGAGTATATGAAAGGTGATAAATACAATTCTATAATGCAGCGGTTCCTAAACCTTTCGATTTAGTGTGTTATGACTTTACTTAGGCTATTAAGAAATATACTTTAACCTTTTCAGTGCTAGGCTAATAATTCATATTTTGTAAGACTTTTTTGTTTGCCTTTCAATTCCATTACCTGTTGTTTAATTTTAACTAATGTTGTCACTATTTTAATAATTAGGCTAATTTTGAATAATAAGACAATATATCACAAAGATAAGTCCCGGTATTTGTATTAAACATTAAATAAAACTTAGTTTTTGTTGTAAATTTCCAAGTTTTCTTATAAATTTTAATGTTGTAATGACCAGTTTTTTATAGTTTTTCTTATGAATAGGTACTATCTTTGATATTTTTAATTTGTCTGGAAAAGTTCCAGTTGCAAAAGGTAAAGTTCCAGTTGATGATTAGTGTAAAAGGTTTGGCAATAAATTCAGTACAACTTCCAAATAAATGGCACGGTACCTCATCAACTCCTGCACTGGTCCTCCTTCCCACGACAGTCATCACCCTCAGTACTTCCTCTGTAGTCGGTTCTAGCTGCATGCAGTCATCGAGTTTTTGTTGTAAATTTCCAAGTTTTCTTATACATTGTAATGTTGTAATGACCAGTTTTTTAGAATTTTTCTTATGAATAGGTATTATCTTTGATATTTTTAATTTGTCTGGAAAAGTTCCAGTTGCAAAAGATTCATTGATGATTAGATTAGTGTAAAAGGTTTGGCAAAAAATTCAGTACAACTTCCAAATAAATGGCACGGTACCTCATCAACTCCTGTACTGGTCCTCCTTCCCACCACAGTCATCACCCTCAGTACTTCATCCTCTGTAGTCGGTTCTAGCTGCATGCAGTCATCGAGATCAAAATCTAATCCATCGGTTGATTCCTGTACACCCTCGGTGATATTTCCATGCAGTTCAGTCAGCTTCCTTACTTCGTCAACAAAGACAGAATTGAACAGGTTTGCCACATCTACTGGGTCATTAATTAAAGATTCTTCATTTTTTAGGGTTATACCTTCATTCGCAGATGTTTTGTCGGTCAGGCTCCGTACTACTCTCCAAAATTCTCGACTTTCATTTTTGTAATTACTAATTTTATTTTGTACAGTCATAGTCATATAATCTTTATTCAGGAGTACAACATGTTGCACCAGAATGGCGTTATACAATTAAATAATATTATTAAAACTAACCGCAACTTATATAAAAAGGCTAAACAAAAATACAAAAAAACTTATAACTTACAAATTTACTACACAGTCAACCAAAAAATTCATCTAGGGAATAAATGGGCTTGGAAAACATAAAAGTTTTTAGCTGTTTTTTAAATTTATTTTTGTCTGTAATTTGTAAAATATCAGGCAGAAGGTTATACAATTTAATCCTAGCAAGGTTTATTTCCAAAGAATTTTAAGTTGTGATTTGTAAAAACTGATTTTGTGTCTGTGCCTTGTCCCATAGCTGTGGCATGAACCCAAGGTCTCGAGTTTTGGTAAAATATCCTTTACAAACAAAATCAAATCAAAGATATATTGGGCAAAAACAGGAAGAATACCAAGTTTTGAAAATTGTTCTTTAACTAAGGTTCTCCAATCTTGAATGTTTAACATGATACGAAATTCTTCTTTTTGAAATAATAATATTTGTTCCAAATTTTCTTGAGAGGTTGTTCCATATAACATTATGCCATAGGAGATGTGGGAGTAAATAAAAGCAAAGTAAATTATTTTTAATGTTTCCAAAGGACATAATTTAGAAATTTTTCTCAAAGCAAAAATCCCTGATGAAATTTTACGGCCAAGATGTTCAATATGAAGGTTCCAATTCAAAGTCCTAGGAATTTAAAATTTTGCAGTTCTTATAGACATTTTCCTTCCATCAAAATTCTGTGTTGAGCTGGTTTATTACTTTGATATGTTGAAAAAGATATGCACTTTGTCTTATTTATTAACTAAAAGGTTTAAATTGTTTAAAAAAGTATTTACATGTGAAATTGGTTATTTGCTATTAAAGTTCTTCCCTTGATACCCAAACGAAACAGGATATTTACCAGCTTGGAGTGTGACACACTATCAAAAGCCTTCCTGAGGTCCATAAAGACCCCAGTAACATTATTTCTCTTATCCACCGAATCTATTACTGATTCAATGAACTGAACACTAGCACTAATCACAGACTTGCCGGATCGAAATCCATGTTTTTCTTTATCTATTAAGTTGTTGGTTTCCAGAAATTCTGTTAGTTTTATAGCCTACACATAGCTTTTTCATAGATTGTATGAACCCTTTTTACAATCAAGTATCAGTTTATTATGATTGGCTTTGGCCTGGTTGTATAATCTTTTCAAATTATTTGAAGTTCTAGTACTCCAATAAAGGTCTTTTAAGGCTGTTTGTGAATTTCTTATTTCTTTGTTTATCCAGTTAGTTATGATTTTTCAAATTAGTCACCACTTTAGGGAATGATATTTCAAACAAGTACAAGAAGGTTGAATAGAATTCTTCGAACATAAAATTAAATTTACTTGAAGGCTCATCAGCAAGTAGGCCCTCCTCAACAAGTAGGTACTTCCTCTAACTTCCATTTATTAGTTTTGAGCAGACAACAAAATGCTTCCAAGGCTAGTTTAGAAATAATGAAATAATTCTTTTTTTCAATCTTGTAGTTCTCATTTAGGTTACTTTTTTTACCCCAATTTTAGCTAAATAGTATATTACGTTACTAGTCCTGAAAATAAGTGTTTACTGGACGAGTGTGGTCGTTCCCGTGCGAGACGAAGTCGAGTACGGGATTACCATACGAGTCCGGTACACACGTTTTGGACGAGTTACGTACGATAGTTTACGCCATACTAATAAATCTGCACAAATCCTTATATATCTCCACCAACTAAAGGACTAAACATCACCAGTCATAACCTCTAAGAGAGATTATGTTTTTTTTTATAACCAATCATTGCCACGCAAATACAGTATAATCAGCTGATTGGTGTCCGGTAAAACTCATTGCAGAACAGTATTACGCAATGAAACCCCATTTGAATAAGCTGGCGGCAAACAGCTGTTTTCTGGACTAAATCCTTGCGTGGGAAGTTCGTCAAAATAATGTAGTGTGGCGTAAAGTATGTTGTGGTCACTTACAATGTTTATATCTGATCCCACTTTGGACCAAATTTTCAATGTTTAAATCCCCGCATAATATCAATGGTAAGTTATATTTGCTTCTTATTAGATTAAGTGCTTCATCCAGTATATCCAGAAACTCAATAAACCTCTCTTCAAAAGGTGGGTATAAATTTAAAACAATAAACTTGAAATCACTGAAAGAGACCAGCAAACAACAGCCTTCAAATACCCCCTCAACACTTAGAGAATTAACATTTTTAATTACACTTACCTTTTACTGTACTTTTATTGCAGAGTTGTTTTTAATGAGAATAGGTTTAATTTCACTTACTTTTATTGCAGAGTTGTTTTCAATGAGAATAAGGGAGCCTCCTCCTACAGTATGGGATCTGTAACATTCTGTTTTTGTATCATAGCCATTTATTTTAAATGTGGATTTCTTACTTTCAGTTAGCCATGTTTCTACTAAGCAGACTAGGTTGGGGTTATGTTCATCCAATGTTACTTCAAAGGAATCAATTTTATTACATATAGATCTTATATTTACAAAGAGTAATTTTAATTTGTTGGTAACTGAAACCTGTTTAAGCTTAGGCTTCATCAAAACTTTGGGCCCACGTGGTCTTATATTTAGTTTATTTGAGGAAAGCTTACTACTAAGGGTGTAGGCCTACCTTGGTTCCACCTCGATGATTTACCCACTTATACCCACTTTAGAGGACTTGTATGTTTGATACTTTGTATTTAAGTTTTCACAGTGAACGCCATTACCCTCGCAAAGTTCACTCACAAACTCACACAGGTCAGAAGTTTCCACATTTGTGCCGATTCTTGATATGAAAATCCAAGATTGTCTTGGTGCAGCAGTCAATTTACTTGTGGGTTGGGATTTGCCAATAATTAGCGTAGGTCTGGGTTTTTGATTGTCAGATTTTGGCTCTGATTAGTATCATTATTAGATCTTTGGTAACTGTTTAGCGTAACTGTTCTATTGGGATGAGTTCTTCGGCCTACTGAGCTGTGCATATTCTGTGTCAATTGAGTCCAATTCATTTTATTATTTTGATAAATCTTCCAATTGTCCTTGTGTGATTCCTTAGTTTGATTAAATTCAGTTTCTTCATTAATTGAAATGATGTCCTCCACAAGCGGTTCCATTTCCATTTTCTTAGGCTTCATAGGGCTTCCCGGTAAGAGTTTACACATTTACGTGCAGCTTCTATTTCAATTTGGCTAACCTTATTTTCTTCTGGTGCTACAGGGTGAGGCAGTGGAACGGCACGATTTAAAACAATCATGAATAATTTATTTAGAAGAAAAAGATAGTTGTTTTAACATAAATCCTAAGTACATGAGTGGAAATTAATGTTTCACCTTAAAAATAAAAATATTGTTTAATACAGTGTCAGTAAAATGGCGTATTAGGTTTTGCACACATTTTTGAATTATGAATTGAAATGACCCCATGACGGTTTTTAGCGTTTCCATAAAGTCTGCAATCGTTTTATAGCGCTTCATCGTGCTAGCAGTGGCTTCAAAGTTATTCACCCAAAGGAGGGCAGCTTTCCTTGATGGCATGGGAGCCCGCTGCGATAGACTGAACTCACAACAAAAAGCGCGCTGAGCACAAACCATTATATACACGTTTTTATAATGCCTTTCCAGCAAACATGTGTTGTGCACTCGTCCATCGCTCCATGGCTACTGAAATTTCCACTTTTCTAGACGGCTATGGCCATTTCCCCCGTACTCTAATAGCCCCCAATTCCTTGTCAGCTGGTATAGGAATCATGCCGTTTCACTGTCTCACCCTGTACTTAAATTTCGCTTTTTAGCTCACGGATTTCCATTGATGCGGCTGTTAAACGATCAGCCACCTCTCGGTCTCTCTTCTCTACTGCCTCCATCCTATTGGCTAGTTCTTTCATAGTGGATGAATTGTTTTGTATACTATTCTGTAAAATATATAAAATTGACCATGATTCCTCATTTTCATTTGATAGGCCAACTTTCATGTTAAGAAGGTCCATAACCATAGGCTTACATTGAAAACAAACATTTGGCTATGGTAAATTAAAATTATAATAAGATTTCTGCTCTTGTTTTGTTGCTAAATCTGTGTATTTCTAGTGCAGTAAAACAGTCTTAAGTATTTTAAAATTTTTGTTACAGCTACGAGTCTGTAAGAACTGCGTTTGAACACTTAGTCGATAGAAGAGAAATCGCTGATTTTATCTCTGCATTTCATCGAATCCCAAAGCAGAGACTGAATTAAGGTTAGAATTTTATTTTCCTAACAATTTCTTCTTGGTACGTAACTTAGTTAATGGGAGTATAGTTTTTTAACGACTTGTTTGCAGCTACTACAGTAGTCTCTGTTCAAGTTCAAACATTGTAATCTGGATAACAAGTTAAACCGGTTAGGGGTAACATAGTGGATTAAAAAAATTGCAAGACTGAAAAATTTACAGCTTCCTTGATGCTTTTTAAATAAGAGTGTAGAGGTATGTCTTAAGGCTTTGACAAAGCTTAATCTTTTAACAGCGTCAACAATATGCTTGACAACAGTGGTCACTTGATGTGACTCATGACCTGAAGGACAGTACTGTTTAAAACATAGGTTTGAATACAGGCTAGTGGCAAAACAATGTAGCAAACGTTAAGGCTAGGGCCACACTTAGCGACTTTATCCCCGTGACCTAGTCGCTGCGACTTTTTCTTGTGACCTGGTTGCTGGAGGTGGCTACACTGGGCAACAATTTCAATTAGTGATGAGTCGCTTGCCGATCTTATCGCTTCAGTTTTTTAAAATCGATTGTTGGTCTTGCTTATTGGATTTTGGGGTTTCCCCCTTAATTCCCTTATTTCTTATTAAAAATAAAAATCTCTACTAAATAAGCATAGATAGTATACATTTTTGAAACTGTAAATTGTGCTTAATGTGGGGGCCATTATTTATCGAAGCAAGATTAGGTTATAATATATGCCCTAATCTCCATACTTAACCCATTGGCCTACTTCGACGAGTCGTTCTCGTCCGGCCGCACGGATGCTACAGAATACTTCGTTGAGGTACTCTTGTCACACGACAGTGCTAGTAATTTCAGATTTTCCCGATAGATAGCAGCACGTACTGGGTCACTTTGTGTTGCTGCGATAAGCTGCATTAGTTACATTACAATTTTTTTTCTATCGGTTGGCAACCCAAAAATGCAATTTAGAAAATAATGTTAAATGTAAGCAAACTAGTGGAAGTTTTGAGGTTGTGTTTACATCGCCATGTCGTAAAGTTGTGGCTTGCGGTTGGGTGAAATTGACAGATTTATTGATAATCGCGACTTATCTTCCATTGAAGATTAATTTGTGGGCCCACTTGAACAGTTTTGGGATGACCAAGAATCCGATCCTGACTGTGAAATTCAAGACTCGAACAGGGTGAAGGCCTACCGCAGAGCTGTTTGACAGTCACAGTAATGACTTTAGTGATGTTATTTCTCCTAATACAGAGATTATCAATGAAACTATAGAAAGAGTAATTTCGGGGGGGATTAATTTATCTGTTTATGATGAATTTGTTTTTGAAACAGTGTTCAATAGGCATCTAACTTCAAACGAAAACGCTGCTACCTATAGGCCTAATTCTGCTGATCTAGATGACTGGTTTATGGTAGTAGATTTCACCACTCAATTGGATAATTATAATGAATTTGAATTTCTTCAAGGAAGTATTGATCAGGAAGTACCTAATGATAGTTCTAGGTCAGACCTACTGATAATTTAGGCGAGATAATAGAGCAGGTAGTGAGGGAAGACATCTAGGCCTTTCCCTTGAGAGTCCATTTGTTTGGAATGACGAGCCTAATGAACCAAAAACAAAAAGTATTATATTTTCCGACTAGAACGTAGGCATAAATATTCCCAACATAAATGATCTTCATGATGGGCTAGATTTTTTCCATGCATTTGTGGGGTGTAACAAATTAAATGTTATATGGTTAAATCTTGTTTATCAAACCAATTGTGGACGTCTAAATCGTCTAATCACAGTCCAGTACTTTCTGCTGCTATTTATTGAATATCTAAAAGGAAGAGGAACTGCTGGTATAGAGTGAATTCCCTAAAAATTTATTTTTATCGCACCTAAACTATTTTGTTTAGGGATAATGTATTTTTAAATTGTAAATTGTATGTAGTATTTTCAGATGAGTATAGCTTATGTGAGCTAATTACTTTGACAACAACATGCGACATTGTGAAAAATAAACAAGCTTTTTGGACTCCTATCGCATCAGAAGACTAGAAGAGAAGATAATTAATTCTTAAGAGATATTTTACAACTGCCAGACCCAGACTGAAAAATATATAAATGAAAATAGTGCAGGAACTGAGTATGTGAAGGAGTGAATTATCGACGAGTGCTGTAACATGTCATGGTATTTGTTGCCGCGACCAAAACACTCCCGGATCCATTTGTTTTTCTGCGGTAGTTGCTGACCGCGGGTAGAATATAGTGTGGCCGTTCATTTAATTTATTGTTACACACTTGTATTCTTTGTTCCGACAACAAGGTCGCCAAGTATGACTGTAGCCGTAGCCTTAGGTTGGTGAGGGATTAAGGAGGGAAAGACAAAGACCTTAACTGAGTCATTTGGTGTAAGGTGTTTTGGTTTAACTCAATACTGCTTTCAGTTAATTGTTCTAGTTTAATCCTAGCTGTCATATATTAATGATAAAGTTTTGAACTATCAAAATGATATTTGGATTCCCATGTTATTATGATACTTATTTAGGACAAATTTGCTGAAGTTTACTTGAGTATTTCACTAAATTTGCATAAGTTTACTACTTGAGTATTTCACTAAATTTGCATGAGTTTACTACTTGAGTATTTCTTTGCAGGCAATTTGTTCAATTTGACAGGGTGGTAAGAAAATATGATTTTAATGTTTTTGTTTTTGTTTCAGGAAACAACTTCAAGCTACAAGAAGATTCCAGATTGACAGGACCGTTGAGTATATTAGTTATATTAACATTGCCTTAAATCTCTTTATGAGATTGTGTTCTGTGTGCTTAAAAAAACATTGTATGTGTCGTCTACGAGTCTTCTTAATATTAATAGTTATTTAGCTATAATTATATTTAACTAAAGTACAAACAATTGATCTCAAGATGAGTGGTGTAAGTTAAGCCAAAGAAATTTATTGAAATGCTATGTCTTTGTTAAGGTGGCTTTAGACACGGTTTATAAGGGTTTTGTATTGTATAGATTCAACAGCAGACTTAACTTACTGACAAAAATACGCAGAGCAGAGCTTTTTTCAGAGGTTGGCGGCCTCTTTTAACCTTTCATTAGCCCGTCCACATAGACTACAAATAGATGAAATGCAAAAAGATCTATTGATAAATAGGTTGTTTAAGGAACTCTAGTCGCTCGATTTTTCTCATTAATGAAGTTGTTTTATAGTTCCTACTTGTTTAGTTGTACCACAATGTCAAGTTTCAAATAAAATTTTTTTTGTAATAAACTTTGTGTGTGTGTTTTTAATTGTTTCTTCTTTAAATCCCACTGTGGCTAATAGCCAGTTCATTATGTGCATTACTCTTATATCTATTCTAAATTAGTGATGGGTTGGTTGCTGATTTTATTTGTTAAAAACCTGTAATGTGGTATTAAACACAATGTCGATGTATAATGGTTACAATAGATTTTCTTTCTCTGTCAACAATGAAAATTGAATTTGATAAGGATTTGAAAGCAATAAAGCTATATATATTAGTACAAGTTAAAGTTACATAAGTTGTTTACCCTTGTGAGTGGGATGGGGAGTTTAAAATAGCCTGTGCAAGTTTTGTTTAGCAGAATATTGACTTGCAGGATGATGTTGTCTTGTTCAAAGTAACATTTGAAATAGTTAATATTTAGAAAAAGGGAGTGCAATGAAAAGATTAGCCAATAAAGTAAGTTTTGTTGAAAGTGTTTGGAGGTCAGTTTGGAGAGTCTTGATGTATAAAAGATCTTCTGGGATGTAATTATGGTGACAGTAATTTTTAACTTTTTAAAGAGTGAGGAATAATGTGCCGCTAGCTAAATAGAATAATCATATATCATAATGACATTATTTTCAATATTGTCATATCACAAATATATAAAAAAAACATTTACAGTAATGTGATCTGTGAGCTCCAAATCAAGCTATTTTAATTACTTACAACTGCGAGTTATTACAGTTGGATTTTTTTAGCTAGAAGCAGTTAAGGTGTGGTGGAATATCTTTGAAGATGAACCTATTTGGCAGTAGTGTGATCATGTGTTCAGACCTGTCGAATGTTTAAGGTTAAACTAAAACAAACAAACTGGCATATATTCTTGGAATTGACAATAGTTAAATACTGTATACTTTAAACTTACTCTAGCCTACTTTTATAAAAGTACTTGGCAATTTAGAGAATATTTACTGTGAAATAGAGAGACGTGATTCCTAATTCCAAATCAACTAATGAATAAGTTGATACTTAATTATTGTCTCCAAATTATAGGTGATGGTTGCTTTAGTATAGTATATTGAAGCGTTATTGTGTGCCTAATGGTTTCGGAGAAAATACCAAAAAATTGTAAATTTTTAATTCCTATGTTATTTATCTTATGGAGAGTAAGTAAATATGAGTAAATATTAAAATATCGAATCTTCTTGTATAAGTTAATTAATTTCGATCATTATATTAATAGAATAATGTGGCTACTGTGACTGGGATACACATAAAATAACTGTTGGGACATACAGTAATGACGATTTACGTTAAGTTTTTAAATGTCTTAACATCTAAATGTAGACCCGCCTTTTGGGTTTCAAGTTAGGGACCAGAATTAAATACTCTTGAGATGACGAGATAAACATTTATATACTAACGTTTTGACCCATTAAATTATAATTTATAGCTAATTGTATTGCTGATAATTTATTAATGCAATCACTAATCAGATAAATTCACCTCGTGCAAACAGGATAACATTATACGATAGGCCAAGATTCAAGTTTGGTTAATAAAATGCAATAGCCTAAAAACTGAAATTTTTCTTGTAAATTAGATAAACATACTGAATTTGATCTTAAATGGGGATTCTTCCGTAAGTAATACAACCCGGCCTCTAAATGCCTAATTATTGATTGCCAGTTTGTTTGTTTTGATTTAACCTCAAAATTTGACAGGTATGAACACATGATCTCACTACAGCCAAATAGGTTCATCTTCAAAGATATTCCACCACACCTTAACTGCTTCTAGCTAAAAAAATCCAACTGTACACTTGATGGTATACCAAATAAATGGAATTGCAAAATCCAATCGCCTCCTGCTTTGAATCGATTCAGGAGGGCCTAGTAACGTCATGGTTGTGCCCAGCTCCTTGTGAAATTATGCTCATATTCTTAAAAACAAGAATGGAATAAATTTTAAACATTACAATCAAATCTTAAATTTGAACTTATGGATCAAAGACTAACAAAGGTATCAAAAATTACTGATGAAGGCATCTAAAAAATTCCGGAACAGTTAAATAATAACGGTTTTTTAATAATAAGGACAGAGCTAAGAAACTTGAGACAAAGTTACTGGGAATAATAACTATTTTAACACATTACAGTAGGTGACACTACTTTCGCAAAATACAAATAAACCGTTGGTTTAACCACTCAAAGTGTTATAACCCTTTTCATAGATAATGATTAGACCTTTCAAATAAGATGTCATATGTCAAAATCGGATATGTGGTTTCCGAGATATGCGACATTATTATAATTGGCTGAGCGGCCATATTGATGACGTCACTACCCGTGACCTAATTATTTTTATGCTTGTCTCCCTGCTGATTTTCACTCTTTTACATGTATTTAGTCGATTTCCAAAGTATGGTGCTGGTCTCCGGAAGTAAAAGATTTTTACACTTGTTCCATGCACTACAATGCCTTCTCTTTTCCAAAGCACACCTGCACCGGTGACCCAGATTCCAGCTTGGAGATATGGCGTTCGGTGGCTGTTAATAGGAGGGGATGGGCGTAGGTGAGGACGAGACGTATGACAGAGGAGTAAAGACATGCAAGGGTTGAGGTAGAACACATACGGCCACGGTTTTTTAGGACACGGAGGTGGGTGGTGAATGGTTTCTTGGTGTCTAGGAGATGGGGACCAAAGGAAAGTTTGGAATCGAGCTTGACTCCAAGGTAGGTACAGGACGTTTTGAGGGTAAGGGTGAGGGGTGGGGGTTGCTGAAATGGATAGGTCCGGATTTTGTTTTGCGGAATCTACGGGAGTTGAAATTGAAGAAAAAGAGTTGGGGCTTTGTGGCATTGACGGTGATACGCCAACGGAGACAGGAGGGTGGTTGTGGTCAGGTGAATAAGAATGTCATGGTTTCAGTGGGAGTTCCAAAATGCAGTGTCGTTAAGGAACTGAACGAGACCACAGGAACAGGATATGTCAGTTCAGTGGGGTCGTTTGGGTCTGGGGACGGGAGGTTACGGACGTAAAAGATAAAGGGGAGAGTAATAATTACAAAGCTTTGGGGGACTGCGGCATGGAGGGTGAATGGAGTTGAAATGGTGCCATGATGGCGGACTTGAGCTGTGCGGCCGTTGAGGAAGTAGGAAATCCATCTGATGATTGGGATAGGGAACCAGAGGTAAAGGAGTTTCACATGGAGTACATCGTGCCAGACAGTGCCAAAAGCCTTCTGGACGTTCATGAGGGTAAGGATGGTTGGACGGTGGAGGGAATTGTTAATTTGAAGACATGTAATGACCCTCAGAAGCTGATCATACATTTTGACTCCAGAATGAATGCCTACTGGAGTCCAAGGGTGTTCAGATGGACGTGGATCCGGGTAGACAGGATTTTTTTAACAGTTTTTGATAAGTGTGGAGGTAAGACTTATTTGCCAGTAATTTGACGGGTTGCGATAGTCTTTATGGGGTTCGGAAAGACTCTCCGTAGGGGAGTGGTGGGGGTGTAGGGGTTGTTGCAGTTTCTGACGAAGCGCCAAAAACTGCAGGGGTTGTCATGGAAATCGGAGTCTGCCTTCTCGCACATCTACTGAGCCTTGGCTTCCTTAAATCCGTGTAAAGCCAACTTATTGTGAAAAGGATTGCTGTGGTGATAGAACTAAGGAGGTTTCGATTTTGCCTGGGGCAGAAACCTGTAACAATGTGTGTGTGGAAGTCTGAGAGGGGTGCTCTCTACCCTCTTGGTTGGGACTGAAGTGGAATTTGTGAAAAGGATTGCAGCTATCATTAGCTGCTGGCAATGGAACTGTGATGGTCTTGGACCTGTTCTGGGGTCTCCTGGGGGGGGTTGAGCTGAGAGGTCTGTCAATGGTGTCGCGATGTCTGTGAGTGTGATAATCCGTTATATTCATGTTGTCCTGTTTGTAAGCTTAGAAGAGCAAGGAGGTGATTTTGAGGTCAAAAATGAGTGGGTCCAATGCCCCAAATGCACCCGCTTAAGGCTCCCCCATTGTCAGGGGGTGTAGGGGGGCGGGCAGGCTCAGCAGTCCACCTACCAACTGATAAACTAGGTCTTCGTATAAGAAGACCTATCTTAAACTATCTCTATCTCTCTCTACTCTTAATTACTCTGACCGACTTTCAAAAATATTCAACAAGACACTAACTGTACTCTCATCCTTATACAGTACTTCATTTTGTTCATTACCTTTAGCGATGTAATCAATTTAAAGAAATCTTAAGCCTATTATTCAAACAGAAAAATGGATTTTTAGCCCTAGAAATTATTAGTGCCAAGAAAATAAATACGACATTTATTCCGTTCAGTCAAATAAAAAATGTAACTTAAATTAAATAAAATGATATGTAAGGGAAAATAACCCTTGAGCAGATATAATAAATATGCAATACTGTAATAAAATGAAATCTTGAAAAATGGAATCTTTAACAAATAAAATCAGGATCATGATTAATGGAACTGGCAATCATCGTAGACTGAGGGCCTATTCACACTGTCGGTAAAAATGTACATGAACCACCAGCTCAACCACCAATGGCCACTAAACTGCAGCCGCAAAGCTCATAGTTTAATCATGGACGTCGAAGAAGCAGGTGCTTTTTAAGCATATATATTTTTGAAATTGCGAAAACTTAAGAAAAAACATAGTTTTTGTGTTCATCAGTTTTTAAGAGATAGAAGTACCAGAGGGATTTTTTTTCAGTTTCAGTAGCATCTGAGTAGTCTGAGTACACGTTGGATGTCATGTCCCATATTGCAGGCCTATTTTGTATTTCCAATATGAAACGCTCTGTATCTACTTTATCCGTACCGGTTTTCATAATCCGTACGTTTAGCACTCCACTAGTAGACTGAAAAATGCCCGCTGGTAGTGACCGGTGGCGCTGCCAGTTGCTCCAATGTGACCAGTCTGATAAGAAACCATGGTGCGACGTGGTGGCGCCACCAGACTGGTGGCCAGACGCGCCACAAATGCTTAGTGTGAAGATGTCCCATTTAAATCAATGCTAATGTAACGTAGCCACCA